CATTTTACTAGATTAAATCTTTTGTCAGGAGCCTACCTTAAAAATAAATTTACACATTTGGGTCTAGATACATAAAAAGAATGGAAAATGATGGAAGGTTTAAGGTATGAGCTGGCCTTCCTAATTTAACTTATGGTCTTTCTAATAAATACTTCCTTGAACATGAACTTCACACATCATAAAACTTATGCACAAGCTTCATGCTGGCTTTCAAGGAACCATTTGTACATGATATCCTTCTGAGGGTTAAGCACATTCCAGAGTCCTGAGCTCAGAAACAAAAAGACACAAAGGGGTTCTTTAAAGATTCATGAATGGAGCATGATGATTTTCAATGTGTTATTTCAAGAGGTAAGGATCTTTTATCCAACTGTACTTAAATGAGCTTTGAAATAGTTTATCTAATCTGCAGGGCATCAGCCAATCTGACCCTATTTCTATATATAAACATAGTCTTTGGGCCTCATTAACCCCCAAATCGGTCCCTAAAAAGGGAAAGGAAACTAAGAGGAAAGAAACAGATCTCTTTTCCTCCCTATGGGGATGCTATTCTTTTAAAGTACTCTTTTACTTCTTGTCCAATGAATTCTGTAAGTTTTTCAAGGTTCTAGTGACTTGTATCTCAGAAAGAAGGTGTTCAAGAATAGCTGGGCATAGAAATGAGGGTAAAATATCACAAGAGGTTTGGTATATGTATGAATTAAGGCGAAAACCACACATACATGTGATTTTTGCATTTTGACAAAGGTCTTTGAAAATGGTCCTGAAGCAAACTAAGTGTTCTTTGCTCTATAAGAAAAATCTCCATCTACAAGTAAACATAGTTCAAATCAAGAAAGGAGAACTTTGTATAACTTTACTTTTCCTGTGTGCAATGCAAATACATTTTGGAGGGCCTAACAGTTACCTGAGCTTTTCACTTCTCATAGCAAGCTCTTTAGAAACGAGGAAAGATTATGGGTATGTACTGAAGGGCTGTATTCTGCTTAAGTGGATGGTAAAGAATGGCTCTCCTAGAAGACAGTTTTATAGGATTGAAAAAGTAATAATCCTTCTTGGTCCTGCCATGTAATCAGTTCTGGATTGCTGAGAAAATGGAGAATGATGACTCAATGAAAATAAGATTTTCTTCAAATGACAACTTTTTCAATTTCAGTTCTCCACAACAAATAATATTGAAATCAGATGTTAATAGAAAATATTTTAGAACCAATTACAAACTACAAAACGACATAGAAAACAAGTATTCACTCGCTTTGACCCTAAGTATTAATAAAAAGAATGAAAATTTAAATATAAACACTTAGAGATGTATGTGAATTGCAGATATAAATTTATTAAGTTACTAATTAGATTATTTTGTATAAACATTCTACAGAGTAATTTTCTCATTTTAGTTATGTCAATTAGCTATTAGCAGTTTTACATCCCAGTTATAACAATGAGTATAATTATGCCCAAATTTTACAGGGAAGCTAAAAGGTAATTTATTTTAAAAACAACCTTCATGTTTCTCATGTTGTATTAAAGGCTTCAGCTTTCTATGACTGGAAATGCTCATATTCTGGCTTTCAATAGTTTTGAAATTGTTTCTATAAAAGAAGAGGATAAAAAACTCTTATATAAATATATTCTGTTGATATGAATTCTACCCCTTTATCTCCTCTCTCTTTGTTAAATTTTCATTGTCTACAATTAGACCATTCCTAGCCCAAGACCATTATACCATATAAAGCTGACTCTTTTGTTCTCTTTGTCAGATAAATGCAAAACCCAGGGCCAAAGGAGCACTCAGAGAGGGGAGACTACAATAAGAAACAAGATGTTGGGATTATATTTATAGACTTGTCAATTAAAAAATATATTCATTTGAATAAAATCAATTGTGACTCCACACAATTTAAAACATTGAATAAAAATTATGGCTATAATGGTCTAAAACCTGTGAATTCATTTCTCTGAGTTGTAAAATGCTGACCTGGGAGATATATGAAATGTTTTAATTGAACTTTTTGCTGAGAGGACTTTCTTGCCTAACAGTTAAGGACCAAGTATAGCTCTTGAACTATGTCTGAGTTTGTGTCTTCCCTTCTCTGTTGCCTAACAAGTTTAACAATACCAATGGTAAATTAATTGAAGGTTCCAAAACCTATTTTATATTTTAATAATTTTCCTACTTGTGCAGAATTTTACTTTGTTTCTTTTCCTAGCCAAATTGATCAGGTTTTCTTGAAGTCCCTTCTTCTATGGTATCATGAACTTTTAATGCAGTCTTAATGTACTTAACATATTACACTTGTTTTTATGATTATACTTCACTAGACTTAAATGTTCAAAGACAGAGTTCATACCATTTTTAACCTTCCTTATAATGTCCTTACAGAGTCCCTACTACAAAAGTACCCAGTATACATACAGCTGCATAAATATTTATGAGGAATGATTATTCACCATATCTTACTTTCAGCTGTGAAGTAATCTCTCTAGTGACTGTCTCATGATCAGTGCCATGACTGATGATCATTTGTCTTTTCTTATTTGCTCTCAATACCCAGGCCAGAAGATAAAGGAAAGTACGCTGTACCTTGAAAAGTCTTGTGTCCTCATTAAGGAAAGATTAGGAAAGGAGCCTCACAGTGAGGATTAGAATTCAAAATCCTTTCACAAATATAACTCACATTATTTGTATGTTTTGGGGTATATTGTTGTTCGAAAATAACCCAACAACAGTAAAATAGGTATCAAATTCCATAAGCAAAAAGCTAAAGACCAATATCCCCCCAAATGGCCCATTAATGTCTTCTTTTATCCATCAACTGCACAGCTTGAAAATACATTTTAAAAATCTGATTTTGTTCTAAACCATTGAGGTATTTTCCAGTGTCTACATAGGAGCCAGCTATCCTATTATTCATGATTATGGCTGTCATTGTGATTATTTTTTTTCCCACTACTTAACTGAGTTTACTATAATTTCCATTTTGCTACTGACTGATAATACTGAGCAAACAAGCTCTAAAACTTTACTTGTCATGTGATATTAATGGAGGGATGTGGCTGTATCCTTTTGCACTGCTTAAAGTCTTACGTGATAATAACAAAATGTTGGCTTTTACATCCTAAAATCACCTAAAAAAGAATCTGAAGGAAATAAAAGTAAAACCTAACAAGATTATAAAATCAAGACAAAATTAAGGGAAAAAACATTAGGGGTGCCAAAATAGTTCTAAATTAAATGTTAAAAAAACACATAATCAAGAGAGTATAATTTGACCCAGACAATTGTTATGAAGTTATGTAATGAGAAGAATCTAGCAGCACATTCTTTGGAAGAAAGCAGAAAAAAACCTCTGTTTCCTCTAACTACTTATAGATATATTCAATCAGCTAGCAGTGGGTAATGATAGTTTACACACAAAATCCTAGAACAAAACGAGGTCAGTTGTCAGAACAGTGAAATGTAGTAAATACAGGAATTCAGTACTTGATGAAATTGGTGTATGCTTAAAGACAGAAGGGGATATACTACCAGTATATCAGTCTCTGACTGATCCTTATAGGAAGTGTTGAAATTATGTAATTCAAATTGTTGAATGAGCAAGACCTTTGCTCATCAGTAAACTGCTGAGTTCTCATAGATGTTTGAGAATTCCAGATTGGACAGGAGTAAGGTAAAATATCTGGTTAGTGTGTAACTCTAAGTTCCCAGCAGAAGTGTTATAGAATTCAACAAGATGGTCACTTGTTGATATGATTCAATGATTTAACAGCAGTTAAAAAACATTTAGGTAAACTTTGCAGAAGTTGAAGTTCTAACAAATACTTAAAAATCATCACATATGAGGGAAAAACTGAAAAAAATGAGGGAAGAGGTGACACTAAGAAAATATACTCATTATCTGACTTAGGTAATTATAACCGTCTGAACATCATCTTTACAGAAACAATAATAACAAAAGAGAGTTTGTTAAAGTTCTTCTTTAACCCATGGACTATCCAGCTACAATTCACCAGATCACACATATACTGAGAGAGAGAGCAAGACTGAGAGGCAGAGAGAGAGAGACACAGAGAGAGCAAGAGGAAGAGAGAGAGAAAGAGAGAGAGAGAGAGTAAACCTTAACTCTTCTCATGATTGCCATTGATACAACTTGGGCTCTATTATTTTTTATCCCCCAAATTGTATTTAAAATGTCTAAGTATTTTTTGTCTTAGTTCAAAACTAAAATTTTCTTTGCCCTGCCTCCACATCCCGCCCCTGCTCCCACCCCACCATCTATCATTTGTAATGTTTTCTTGAACATTATTATTGGCTACAGATGGCCTGAAGACTCATAGAAACTTTCCACAGGAAATGTGCTTGTGCTGGTAGAAGAATACACATACTCTCATATGTAATGCTGTGTTTCCCTTTTCATGGGCACAATAATCATAACATTCCATCTGTAGATACCAGGTTAGAGATTGAACTTTGTGCTGTTCTGGCCTTAGACATCTTATTAAGAAGGCAAACTCTGCCCCTTTGTAGGGATGGGTTTGTGGAATATTTGTGGAGTACAAGAGTTAACCCTAGGTGACTGAGATATAAGTCTGTTGCATTTGCATTTTTATTTTTATTATTTTTAATTTTTGTACTAGTCTAGGGGCTTGAACTCAGGGCCCAGTGCCGTCCCTGGGTGCTGCACTTGCTTTATACCTACCTCCTTAGTACTTCTAGAACTGCTCTGTCCTTTTCATTGTTTACCCAAATGATCTGTATTGGCAGCATTTAAAATTATTATTTTAACCAAAACATAAAAGTTTGATTTTGTGGCTAAGCTCAATTCTTACTGTAAATGTCTTACAACATACAAAAGAGATGGAATTATCCAGATTTGATACACAGTATATACATGTAGTAAAAATTTATACCATAGCCAAAGTATGTGAAATTAAACTAATAGTAAATTTTTAAAAAGATCCTTCATTTTAAAAGATATTGAAGACCACAGCAGGATTACCTGGCAAAAACAATTCTTCTTGGAGTTTTGCTCTAGCCTGTTGGGAGAAGCATCTTTTCTTCAACCAATCAGCTTCAAATTCACTATGATGCTCATTGGGCCAAGTGATGTAAACCTTATAAAACAGAGAGGAAATGTCACCTACTTGTACCTTATGCTACTATCTGTTTTGGTTCTCTACTATTGTTCAGTTTCTAAGTATAATTTAAGTTAATCCCGGACTGAAATTTAACCTTTTTATCCTCCCTGCTGGGAGCAAGTCAAGGGGCTGTATCTGAGGCCAATAAAATACATGTAAGAAATGGAATTTAGAAGTTCTTATTCCATATCCTCTAAATCTGTATACCCAAAACTTCTCATGATAAGGTGCTAATATTAATAGTGAGAATTGGAAATAAAGTCCTTAGGTTGGGAGGAGGACAAGAGTTTTTCTGGTTACATTTGCTCTTTGGATAAGAACTGGAGGAAATCTGGAAAAGAGAAAAGAGGAATAGTGGCTACATCTGTATGGCTTTTGAGTACAGTACATTTAGGGTAAGCCATGCACATCTATCTATGGATAAACTTGATTAAATATGAACTAGTAGTATTCTTTGAGTGCTGTCTATATGCCAAGCCCTATGATAAACATTTTTATCTCATTGAATCCCGAATAACTCTCCATAAATAGACTATGTCAGTACCTTCACTGATTTTACAGGTGAATAAATGGAGTCCCAGAAGCAAGCTGCCACTCACTGAAAGAATAATGAGCAATCTTGTAGTAGTACTAATTAGAACATTTGCTCCCATTGGCTGAGCATGCATAATTTGTTCAAAGCACTTTATAAACATGAATGTACAAATGGTTACATATCCAACCAAATGAAACGAAAGTTATTTAAAATTATTGAAAACAAGTCCTTTTAGCTAATGTGAAAGAGAAGGAAGAGAAAACTTAAAGGTGATTACCTTTTTTCTGTCAAATACCAAGCATTTAATACTAATGTTCACATCAAGAGCTTCCAGGAGCAATTTCCGAGCTTTGGCAGAATCCAGATAACATTCAGAGCACTGGCAGTTGTCTCTCAGCCACACAGCCGGGTAGAGGGACTCTGTCCCATCGTGCCAAAAGATCTGCATCAAATGAGCCCCATCCAGTGCTTCTGCCTTTTGGATGAAGCAGTGCATGTTTCTGGTGTCTGGGGATAAATCTCGTCAACCACCTAGTAAGACAAATCAGTGTTAAAAGCAATAGACAGGGAAATTGAATCTGAATTGACCTCTAAGAATGAACAGTTTAAGTGGCCTCTGGCCTCTGCTTTTGATTCAGCTGCTTGGGGCTGTGGTTTGACTTATCAATGCCAGGACCTTTGCTCTGGGTAGAGAATTTCACATGCTGTAAACAGAAACATTGTGGCTAAAAGCAAATAAGATAAAAATGCTGCATCAGGATCCAGATGAAAAGAATTCTTTGTTTTTCCTCCCAGAAATTTTAGATAAAGCCAGAACCAATGACATACATACTTTCATAAATGTTCTTGCATACAAGTTCTGGAATGTTTAAGGGAGAAAATAACAAGCTCCACCAACTAAAATTTCCTCTGAAATTCTAACTGATGCCAATTATTGATGGCTTTTAAAACAAAAAAGCTTCTAGGATACAAAAGTAGTAAGTTTGTTCTGAGGAAGGAATACTAATGTACTTTATTTTATTTGAAGGAGTGCTCTAACTCAGAACACAATGCTATTTTGGTTCTAGCATTTAGTTTTTATTTAAACTTATATTCTCAATAAAATAAAAATAAATGTTTAGGTTCTGCAAAGAACTTGTTTTGTTCATTCTCTGAGATTTTTGTGCTTTGATGTACAGTATTGGGAATCCTAGTCAGAGCAATGAGGGGTGAAAAAGAAATAAAAAGCATCTAAACCTTAAGGAAAGAAGGAAAACTATCTCTCTCAGTTTATGACATGGTATTATATGCAGAAGCCCTAAAGACTCCAAAACCCAAACTTTAAAAACTAACAAAAATTTAGCAAGTTTGTAAGACACAAAATCTGCACACAATCATCTATATCATTTCTATATAATAATAATATTCTATGAGACTGTAATCACATTTATAGCACTATCATGGGAATTTAATATTCAATGTATCAAGGAGATAAAATATCTATATCCTATAAACTGTAAGACAAGAATTAAGTGAACTGATGAAAGATATAGGTTAATGGAATGATACACCAAACTTATGGATTAGGAGAAATAAGAGTCAAAATAAACCTTACGTCAATGTGACTTACAAATTTATATCAAAATTCCAGTGAGATGATTCAGAGAAACAGAAGGAAACATCCACACATTTTTCATAAAGTCACAGAGCAATACTTAGGAGCCAAAGTAACCATAGAAAGAAAAACAACACTTGGAAGCTTCACACTAACTGATCTCAAAACACATTACACAGTTAGTAGCAGTATAAACTAGTAGTGGTAATAAATGAAGCCTGTTGCTGACCTAAGACAGACACACAAGCCAATGGAATAGAGCATTGAGATGAGGAGTAAATCAATGCATTCAATGTTACTTGGTCTTCTGACAAAGTTTCCAAGAAAGGAAATGATGAAAGGATAGTTCCCTCAATAAATAGTGTGAAGAAAACTGGATATCTATTTGCACAAAAAACAGTATAAGAAACTTACTAACCAACAGGAAAACCAAACACCACAAACAAACCAGAGACTCTACCAAGAGACTCGATATGGACACAGGGGAGACACAAGATCCCTAAAATAAATCAAATTATTTTTTCTACTTAAATTTTTTTCTACTCTTTCCTTTTTCTTTTCTTCATTTTTTCTTTTTCTTTTTCCCTTTTCCCTTTGATCCTTTTATTTTCTCTACTTAATCACTGATATGTACCCATCTTTGGTTATTAGACCTTATCCTTCATTGTATGCAAACAATCCAGATATTGATTACTTAATTCACAATTATCAACCTTAATTCCTTTAATTGTAGTATTATTTCATTATACTTATATAATTTTTGTTTTTCATTTTTCATTTTTTAATTTTTATTTTTTCCTTTTTCTTTTTGTTTCTTCTCCTTTCTTTTTCCTCCCTCTGAATTTAGGTCTTAAATATCTTCCCTCTCTTTCTTTCTCTCCCTACATTGTTCTAATCTTATTTTCTCCTCACTATTATCCCTATAACTATTAATTTCTGGATCCCTGACCCCTTCTTTAATTTTATTAGCTCATTGATCCTTAGTGGTCTGTTGTTGAACTAGATTGTATCTGTACTCATTTTGACTGTGTCAAAAACTCTGTAAAACTACTGGGCTCTGGGCTGATGATTGTCTTAAAATAGTGTTCTAGCTCAGAATTGGTTGTGCTTTCATAGTCAAATGGGCAGAATGAGTCTTAGAAACACTAGAAAAATGGCAAGTCAAGCAACTTCATGATAAACAGTCAACAGAGAAGTTAATGAATAATCCAGAGAAGAGTCCTCAAAATGCTCTACAAACACTATTGGGAAACATGGTGAATGAAAATATTGAAAGCTTACAAAGGACTTTGTGTGACCGTGATAGGGCAATGTGTGAGCATGATGAAGCTAACCAAGGATTAAAAGAGGAACTGTATGAGAATGATGTGGCTAAGCAAAGATTAATAGAGGAATTGCATGAGCATGATGAGAATAACCAAAGATTAATAGAGGGATTAATGGAATCCACAAATACAAAACTGGAGGAATCCATGGAGGCCACAAAGAGAAAGTTGAATGAATTTCAACAGAAGGAACGGGAGTCTAAGGAAATATAATTACTCTACTAAAGGAGTTGAGAGTAAACACTGAAAACCAAAGCAAAGCAGTAAAGAAGTCCACACAAGAGCTAAAACAAAGCTCCAACAAAGAAATTGAGGTTATCAAGTCAATTAGAAGAAAGGAAATTAAAAAAAACAAAGCAAAGAGTATTGACAGTAGTTAGACCATGCAGAAGATCAAATCTCTGGGATTGAAGACAGCCTAGACATTATAGAGAAAGAACAGACAAGTATTCAAAACAAATCCAGGAAATATGATAGATTCATTCAATCAGAAGGCCTAATTTAAGGGTAATGGGGTTAGAGGAGGGCCTAGAGATGGAAACTAAAAGTCTGGGAAATTTATTTAACAGAATCATAGCAGAGAACTTCCCAAACATACAAAAAGATAGGCACATTCAGATACAAGAAACCTTTAGGATCCCAAATAGACCAGACCAGACAGGACATCCCACTGTCACATCATAATCCACACAGGATCAATAAAGGCCAAGGAAAGGATCCTTAAAGCTGTCAGGGAGAAAAGATCAATCACCTATAAAGGTAAACAAATCAGAATAGCTACAGATTTATCAGCATAGAGCATGAAAGCAAGAAAAGCCTGGAATAATGTATGCCATGCCCTAAAGACAAACAACTATCAACCAAGAATACTGTACTCCACTAAATTATCCTTCATAACAGAGGGACAAAGAAAAACCTTCCACAGCAAAGAAAAAGTCAAACAATATATCTCTACCAAACTAGTGTTATAAAAGGTACTTAAAGATGTCCTACACACAGAAAACCAACAAGAACATCATGAAGGCAGAGAAACAGCCCCGAAAATATCAGGTAAGCATAGTATGAAGCAGTAGGCACAGCCTCCAAGAAAGTGGATAACATGGTAGGTAATACCAAACACCTCTCAATCCTAACACTCAATTTTAATGGACTTAAGTCTCCAATTAAGCAACACAGATTGTCTAGTTGGATCAAAAAGCAAGGCCCTTCTATCTTCTGCCTTCAAGAGACACACCTTGACCACAAAAACAAACATATTCTGAAAGTGAAAGGCTGGAATAAAATCTACCAAGCAAATGGCTCCCATAAACAGGCAGGAGTTGCAATCCTAATACCAGATAAAATAGACTTCAAATTAAAATTAGGGAGAAGAGATAAAGAAGGACATTACATACTAATAATGGGATCTCTCCTACAGGAGGATATTACAATTCTAAATATCTATTCACCAAATACTGGAACACCCAAATTTATCCAAGAAACACTACTTTCCCTAAAATCTCATATAGATCCAAAGACATTAATTTTTGGGAACTTTAACATACTACTCTCCCTGCTGTATAGATCAATCTGGCAAAACTCAAGAGAGAAATCTCAGATCTAAACAACTGCATAGATCAACTAGACTTAACAGATATCTACAAAATATTTCACCCAGCAGCAACAGAATACATGTTTTTCTCAGCAGCACATGGAACATTTTCCAAATAGACCACATTTTAGGTCACAAAGAAAATCTGGCCAAATACAGAAACCATGAAATTATGCTCTGCATTCTCTCAGATCAAAAGGGAATAAAATTAGAATTCAACACCAAAAGCCACCAAAGAAAATCCTGTAACACACAAAGGCTGAACACACACTGTTGAACTTCCAATGGGTCATGCAAGAAATTAGAACGGAAATTCAAATGTTCATTTTAACAAAGTACCAGCTCCTCTGGGACACAGCAAAGGCAGTACTCAGAGGAAAATTTATAGCTCTGAGTTCCTCCATCAACAAATTGGAGAGATCTGAAACCAACAATTTAATGATGCACCTGAAGTGCTTTGAAAAAGAGCAATAAGCCAAACCTCAATCCAATAGACAGAAACAAATAATTAAAATTAAATCAGAATTAAATGAATTAGTCAAAAACTATAGAAAGAATCAACAAAACAAAGAGTTGGTTCTCCGAAAAAATTAACACAGTTCACAGACCCTTAGCAAATCTTACCAGAAAAAGAAGAGAACACACCAAATAAACAAACTCAGAGATGAGAATGGAAACATCACCACAGAAAAAAAATCAAGATTCAGAACATTATAAGGGAGTACTTTTCAAACCTTTATGATAATAAGTTTGGAAGAAATGAATGAATTTCTAGCAAATATTAACATGCCCAAACTAAACAAAGATGATTTAAACCAACTTAACAGACCCATATCAAGCATCAAAATAGAAACAGCAATAAGAGACCTCCCATCCAAGAAAAGCCCAGGACCAGATTGTGTCACAGTTTAATTTTACAAGGCCTTCAAAGCAGAACTCAGACCAATACTCCTCCAACTCTTCAATGACTGAAAGTTTCTATGAAGCCATCATAACCCTAATCCCAAAACCAGGCAGGGAC